CTTGTGATAGAAAATTATTCGTATTTTATAGATGAGAGCTTCAGGAAGCCGAGGGGCCTGCCTATAATCACACAGCCAGTAAGTGGCACGTCCAAGATTTGAACTCAGCTATTGAGGGCCTATGTCCAGAAGCCCAGAGCAGGAGTGAGGAGGAGCCTCCTAGGTCTGGTTTCTCACGCCTGAGCCCAGGGGTGTGCTGCCCTGGGCATAGGTAACAGAGGGTGGTGGTTTAATCCAAACCTGCTATGCCCCAGCCATCTGCTACTGTTTAGGAAGTCACGCCTGTCTCCAAGCCAGCCCAGTGGGCACCAAAGACAAGAGTAGCCCTGTCACATGCCCTCAACCTGCCCCCTGTTTTAGAATAGTTTCCTCTTCACTGTCCAGCCTAGCTCTGGTTTTATGGTCTGATTTATTGGTGGGGCATATATAGGGTGGGCCCAGGACAGGCAGCCCGGCCACTTCCCTGCTGCCTGCCTGAAGGGCAGGTTGATGCCCTGTGGCCTCCCCACCACCACTGTTCTTCTTAACCCCTGGGCTCCCAGGCTGGGCCCCCCAAGGCTATTATCTTCCACAGTACAGTTGTGTCAGTCCAGGTGTGGGAGCTGCAGGGACAGATCCAGCTGGCTCTGGGCTGGGCCCATTCCCATTCCCCTGGGGGAGGTGTGGTCAGCTTGGATGGGCTGGACTGGGCCTTTTTTGAGTTCTCTTCTCCCAGTGCCACATCCAGGTTCAATGATAGGGACTTGGGTTTCTCCAACAACGTGGAAAGTGGCCTCTCTTCATGGTCCCAGCAGCCATATCCCAGACCTACTGGGTTGAAGTTCTGTGGAATAGGGTGGGGGGACTCCAAGGTATTCCAAGCCGGTGCCCCTGTTGGCAGCCGACTTCTGAGAGGGAGATAGGAAGCAGCATGCCCCATCCCTGGCTGAGTGGAAGACTGGGCTCCTGGGGTCAGTTCACGGCCAGTGGCTCCCAGCTGGTTGCTGCTCAGTCTCTCCTGCTGGGTGAAGGCTGGCCGGGCCAGGTGCTACGCCATGCTGCTGGTGGAGCAGGGGGTGCTCTGGGTGCTCCCGATGCTGTGGTTGGTGCTGCTGCTCTCTGAGGAGGCGGGGGCAGCCACTGCCACCACGGGCTCCCGGTTGCTGGGGGGACCTGGGAGTGGGGCCAGGGGTGGAGGTCAGGGCCCTGGCCAGGGCTACCCACTCCCTCAGAGGCTTCACTGTGCTCCCCCAGGTGGGTGGAGGGGCCCTGCGCCCTCACTGCAGGGGCCTGGGGTACTCACGCGTGTGCAAGTAGATGTACCAGAGTGCAGCGGTGAGCAGGGCCCCGATGAGGAATGCACCGAAGGTGAGGCCCAGCACAGCGGGCAGGAGGAGGCCTTTGCCTGTGCAACCTGGAGAGGGCCGGCTGCAGTCAGCACTGTCGCCGCCTCCCTGGCCCCTACTCTGCTGTGCTGGCCAGGAGCACAGGTTTTGGTGCCAGTCGTGCTGAGCCACTGACCCTGACTTCTCTGGACCTCAGTCTCCTCATACAGCAAATGGGCTTATCAAATGGGTGCAGCACTAATGTGCGGTTGCTATGACCATCCACCAGAGGGCCCAGGCAGGCCTGGGTCATGCCTCTCACCCCAAGGTGGATAGGGATGTGTTTGCAAGGAGGACAGATGGGACAATGTGAGGAAAGTGAGAGGCCTGGGAGTCCAGAGCCTGCCCTGCTTCGTCATACAAACTTCGGTCAACCCTTGGCCCTCCCTGAACCTTCCACCAGGTAGAGAATAGGCCAGAGCACCTCCAAGGGCTCTTCACTCTACTTTTGGGTTGTCCCAAGCCACATTCCTTCCTGTGTGACTGGGCCAGGCCACCTCCTTTGGGCCTCCAACTTCCCATCTGTGCAATAGGGTTATTACCCCTGCTTTCCTGGTCCTGTACTGGGGCTGGAGGCTCCATTCTGGCCTGGATGGGGTAGCAAAGAGCTAGGTGCTTCCCCCCACATTTGCCCCCAGTGTCAGGGATTTCTCTGCCTGGTGGGGGCCTAAGCCCACTGAAAAGGCTGGAGGATGCTAGTTGAGAGACATCCTGCATACTGGGGGAGGGGGTGTCTAGAAAGGCAAGGCCATCACCACTCCCAAGTACCTTCTGTCTTATCTAGGAGTCCCTGTTCTCTTAGCAAGGTCAACTAGTAACCATGGCCATGGAGAAGCATAGTGGACAGGATCCAGAGGCCAAGAATCCTATCACACAGGGTGCTTGTGAGCAAAGGGTCTCCATCTAGAAGCTGCAACTGTGGATCCTGTTCCAGACTACTAAGGCTCTGGGAAGCTGCTTCCCCTGAGGTCCTCCTGCTGTGTGCCTGGGCCCTACCCCTCCAAGTCCCCTGTGCTCCACTTTGACCTCAGCCACTGGGACAAACCCCAGGAGACCCAGACAGGAACTCACCAGACAGATCAGGGCTGATGACATTCAGGCGGGTGGAGACTATCCTGTGTATGTCCTGGGGGAGAAGGGAGAGCAGCGTGTGGTATAGTCTCTGGGAGGCAGCTTCCAGGCTTACTCCTGGTTCTGCAACCCCCACTTGTCCTGGCCTACCCCAGGGCCTTGGCTTTGAATCCCACTTTCTAGCTGGGTGTCTTTGGGGAGGTCCTGGGAGATGTGTGCTATTGGAGGGTGGAGGATGGGCAATCCTTGGCTGCTGCTGGGATGTTTGCAGTGAGTGTCCAGGGACCCCTCATGCCCTTGAGTACTGTAGGAACTCTCCACATCCTTTATGCTAGTGAATGCCCTGGGGTGACCAGCTAGGTCAGCCCAGAGGCTCAGGCTCACTATGGCTAGAGGGACAGGCTTACTCAGGGGTGGCCCTGAATGCTTCCCAAAGCTAGGAGATTTTTTTTTTTATATAAAAGAATATTTTAATTCTTCTCTTCAGAAACTACAAAGACTATACATGATTTGGAAATAAGACTGTACCAAAGTTGGATCGTCCATTCTATTCCTTCTCTTTTGCCTGGTCACTCAGAAATA